ATTCAGTTCATATGTATCCTTTTATAATTGTATATATTTAGATTCGTTTTATCTTTAAACCATTATTAGTCGTGGCATCATGTTTAGCCAAGTTTATATAAACTAACTTACTTGAAGTGCCTAATAAGTTCATCTTTTTGGCACCCAAACATGTTAAGGCTAAAATTGAACCCGTTAATTCCATTTCAATTTTGTGTCAGGTTCGCAGATGGTGCGTAAATTGCCAAGTGAGAAGGGGTTATTCCATAAAGATTTAATTGTTTCTCAAAAGAGAGTATTGATTTATTAAACACGTATGATTTACTTCATTTTAACTACGAGTGCAAAAGATGTACAATTGAGACCGCAAAAAAAATTCCTCTTGAGATGGAGATACTATAAGCAATAGAATTTGGATGTTAAAAGATACATCTTATGAAAAAATCCTTCTTCTACATATTTGGATGAGTAATTAAGCACCCTATTGCTTACATAATCTAATCCTTCTAGCTATTTCCTCATTTATGTATTGTGTTGTTTGTTGGGAGATACTCAAATCTTAGTCCATGCCAAGTTGCAGCCACAATGGGTCAATTGTTGTTGATATTTATAGGTATCTTAAGACCAAGTCTATTAAAAAGATTTTAAGGAATATTTAATGTTATCTAGTAAATTATGTCACAAATAATGCAAACTGGACCCCTCCCCTCCATTTTTTGGGTACATAAATGGACCCCTAAACATAATGTAGAGAGAGAAATGATAGGGAATATGCTCTCAATATGAGCATTTTGTTACAATATGCATGCAGCAGCCAGAAGTGGCATGAAATTGGTGTTTATTGTTCAACATTAAATAATAGATGCTTTTGTTTGTGATATTTGGGCTTGAATCACACACCTCTGCGTCCTGTCTTGTGCGTTACGTACAACTTTTTTGCTTAAATATGTTTCGCAGCAGCATGTCTTTATTTACTAATGGTTCCATCGTCAAGAAAGACAATGTGTAAAACTACATGTCTCGAGTTTAAGTCACTAACCACATAAAAACTGGGTTTAACCAATTAGTAGGTAATTGCTTATATTCAAGACTTGCATTGCAAATTTTAAGTTTAAAATATACGTGATAAGAATGATTCTTGATAATCAAATGATTCTCCATAAGATTTGCTATATCCCAATTCGGTTCCATAAAATCCGAATGTATAGCTGTAAATATATATATATATATAGAATAAATTACAATAATGTGATCATATAAAATAGGAAAGGTTTAAAATACAAATATTGAAAACATATCTACATATATAGGATCATATTATTGTAATTTATTCTATATATATTTACAGCTATACATTCGGATTTTATGGAACCGAATTGGGATGTAGCAAATCTTATGGAGAATCATTTGATTCTCCCTTATCATTGATAACCCAAAAAAAAAAGTTCTGTCATGTTAGGCATGAATTAGTTTTGTTGCCAAAATTAACACCAATAGACTTCATAGTTTGCCCTCAGGCGACAAACATTTTTCCATTTATAACTAAGGTTGTGTTACGTTATACCCTAAATTATATATAACGTGGAAGAAATTGTTTTTTCACAGGCAGTAAGTGCTTATAGATGAGCAAATTTTCCTCCAAGTTGTGGGAGAAATGAGAAAGTCGTTAGTATAAGCTGGAAAAGTGGAACTCTTTTGAAATCGAATATATCAGAGCTTAGATGTTAATGCAAAAGGTTTCTCAACCTTAGACATCTATGATTTTCGAGTTTAGTCCAAAAACGGTTGTCTGTAGACATCTCCTCTAATTCGTTACATGCGAGGAATCAATGTTTAAACTTTGTTCGAATCATGACCACCCTGTATTATAACTACGCCCAGTCCCATATATATATAGCAAATAGGTACTAAACCAGGCCATAAGAAAGGACATGCACATTAAAATTTTGACGACTAACACTCAATATACAAGAGGCCCTAGCCAACGAAATCAGGGAACATCTGACAGTAATAGAGCTTAGAGAACACTCAAGAGACCCGGCAAACAGGTGGCTACCAACTCATGCAAGCAGAGATCTACATACATCTCATCATTTGCTAGGTGGATCAAATGGCTTTGCCAATGCTGCCTATTTTCACAAATTAATAGAATTTTTTAATACATTTATTTAAACAAGCAGTAATATTTCTCCGTACCAAGAATCTTCGCGAAAGACTATATTCCACGCCCCCACTTCGGTCCACCGGCACCCAAATGATTATAATATTTATATGTGTTTGGCCTAAAATTTATCTTCAATATGCGCATACAAGTGAATTGTGCTCTACAAACTCCTATGTTAAACTCTCTTAAATTGTTGAAGGTCTTATATGAGATTATACTTTGATATAAACTTGTAAGTTTAGATGTCTATCAAATCATGTCAAATTATCTTTGTGTCATGTCATTTCAATTAGTTTTGTCATTTTGGTTCGTGTCATATTTATATAAATATTTGTATAATCAAAAAAAGTTAATTCAAAAATAATTCATATAACACCAAATCAAGAAACGAAAAAAAAAACAATCATTTTGTTCTTACAATATTAACTAAATAAATCAGCTATTTGTATTTAACACTAATATAACTTATCTCCTATTCGTATTAAGAAGTTGTGTTATATTTTAACATCTTTATGACGAGCCATTATTTGAGGAGAAAAATGATTCTAAACTTTCACTGGTGCTATGTGACAAGCTGAGATTTAGATCAGGTATGAGCTCGGTCCATAAGTTGAACTCAAATCATCAAAAAGACAAGTTAGGCTTAGCTCATGGTCACAAGTCAATTCAAAATTTAAGAGTACAAGAAGAGTTAATGCACGTGAAAAATTAATCATCCAAATAATCATTACTCCAATAAAATATTTATCCCCAATTAACTAGCCTCCTGATAAACTAATATCTTGACATCTCTTCTAATTCGTCACATGCGAGGAGCCACTGTTTAAACTTTGTTCGAATCATGACCACCCTGTATTACAACTACGCTCAGTCCCATATATATATATATATATATATATATATATATATATATATATATATATATATATATATATATTTAGCAAATAGGTACTAAACCAGGCCATAAGAAAGGACATACACATTAAAATTTTGACGACTAACACTCAATATACAAGAGGCCCCAGCCAATGAAATCAGGGCACATCTGACAGTATTAGAGCTTAGAGAACACCCATGAGATCCAGCAAACAGGTGGCTACCAACTCATGCAAGCAGAGATCTACATACATCTCATCATTTGCTAGGTAGATCAAATGGCTTTGCCAAGGCTGCCTATTTTCATAAATTAATAGAATTTTTTATTAGATTTATTTAAACAAGCAGTAATATTTCTCCGTATCAAGAATCTTTGCTGAAGACTATATTCCACACTCTCGCTTCGGTCCACCGGTACCCAAATGATTATATTATTTATATGTGTTTGGCCTAAAATTTATTTTCAACGTGCACGTACAAGTGTATTGTCCTCTACAAACTCTTATGTTAAACTCTGTTTAATTATTGAAGATTTTATATGAGTTAGTACTTTAATATAAACTGGTAAGTTTAAGTGTTAATTGAATCATGTCAAATTATCTTTGTGTTATGTCATTTCAATTAGTCTTGTTATTTTGGTTCGTGTCATATTTATATAAATATTTGTATAATCAAAAAAAGTTAATTCAAAAATAATTCATATAACACCAAATCAAGAAACGAAAAAAAAAACAATCATTTTGTTCTTACAATATTAACTAAATAAATCCGCTATTTGTATTTAACACTAATATAACTTATTTCCTATTCGTATTAAAAAATCGTGTTACATTTTAAGACCTTTATGTGGAGCCATAATCTGAGGTGGAAAAAGATTCTAAATTTACGTGGAGACATCATAAAATTTTCATTCTCAAATTTTAAAACTTTTCATTCTCAAATTTAGAATCTTTCTCCGCCGAACATGTAAGATTAGGTTATATCGGATAGAGTCTATGGTTGAATCTCACTAGATGCATACTAATTTTCAACCATTTATGCTCAAGAACATTCCTCCGATGGATATTAATCTTTACTTTACCAAAAAATAAAAAATAATCTTCCAAATATGCACCTTGACCGATTGACCCCTAAAAAAAATGTTAAAACAAGTTTTCTATTTTTAAATATATATTTTTGTAATCATTTGAATTGTTAAATGTCATTTACAAAAAATTTTCTAATCCCGGCATAAATGACTTGACATTGATCGGACTGAGAAAAGAATTAATCTAAATGTGCATAAATCGACTCGGACACTCAACATTATTAAACCAAAAAAAAAAAGAATTGCTTGCCACCCATCAACGAGAAGATGCCCAAGTGTGTTTTAATAGGTAGATGTAGCCTATTTATAATGGAATTCTTTTCATACTAAAGAAAAGAAGTTAGATTACTTAAGACATAAAAAAGTCAAAGAGATTTAATCTATGTCTACCAGTTACAATACTTGTGTACACAATTACCATTTCAACTGAACGTCTTAATTAACTTAATTTGTCAATTAAAGGTGGTGTATAGTTGGTGGTACGTAATAAACCCATTGAGTTATGGTACAAATTAAGGTAATTTCCACATGTGTTGGTCTTGTCCATTGTTTCTGCTACACAGAGAAGTTAATTTCTATTTATGAGATCATAAATGCATTTACAAAAAAAAACTGCAGAAAACATTGTCCAAAGAGAAACTGATGCCAGTGTGTTTACTTGATTATCCAAATTCAAAATAGAAGAAGAAAATACTTAGAAATGAATTAAGTCGGACCAAATTTAAATTTAACTTGAATCGTTGGGGTTCAAAATTCATCATCGTCTCTAGCAAACGGTGAACCATATATGGTATGAATCCAAAAACAAACAACAATTTTAGAAACACCCATATCTTACTGACTCTAAAGCTTTAGCCATGGGCAGTGCTGTCCTTTCACTTTGGACAGCGCTCCATGAACAAAAAAATGAGGGTGCTTATGAAATATGGGAACAAGACTAATGGTAATTTCAGACGAGTAATCTTATACCAACTTAATTTGAAGGTTTAATCAACTACTTAAATCAATGGATTACTTGTTGTGAGTTCTGAGGTGAGGTAAGATAAAACTTATTTTTAAACTAATAGTTATACTGAGTTAAGTCCATAAATTACGATTCTAAATTGAGATCAAAAGCTAATTTCCTTTTCGCAAACACACGGCTAGGAAAAACAAATGAGAAACATACCATCATAACTCCAGCTCTAAACTAAGAACTCCAACAATACAAAAGAAAACCCCACCTCACAACCTCATTTTCCTGATCTATTAATACTCGTTCTCCTCTTCAATCCGTAGAGAGAGAGAGAGTTCTAGTGAAAAACCATTTGTTTCCCTCACTATGTGCAATCCAAAAACCACACCCACCCTCACCCTCACCACCATATCTGCAACTGATCACAAACCCTCACAACAACCAACAAAAACACAAGCCCACTTCCATGTCGATCTCTTATCATCCCTACCCACCACCCTAACCCACCCAGAAACCACCAAAAAACCCACAGACAACCCAACACAATTTTCTCTCATAACCCCCTCAGAGATCATTAATGAAACCAAAGCTCTCTTCCACCTCTCCTTCCCCATAGCACTCGCAGCCCTCATCATCTACTCTCGCTCTATCCTCTCCATGCTCTTCTTAGGCCACCTCGGCGACACAGAGCTCGCCGCTGGTTCTTTAGCCATTGCCTTTGCCAACATCACCGGATATTCAGTACTTTCCGGCCTAGCTTTAGGCATGGAACCTCTCTGTTCACAAGCTTTTGGAGCTCAACGTCCAAAGCTTCTCTCTCTAACAATGCAAAGATCAGTCATTTTTCTTCTCGTTTGTACAATACCCATCACATTACTATGGCTTAACATTTCAAAAATTCTTCTTTATTTACACCAAGACCCCATTATCACCACCTTGGCTCACAGATATCTGATCTTTTCCCTACCTGACCTATTGACAAATTCTTTTCTCCACCCAATACGCATTTACCTTCGCGCACAAGGCATCACCCAGCCGGTGACTTTAGCAACGCTTGCCGGAACGATGCTGCAATTTCCGGTGAATTACGTGTTCGTGTCTCGGCTCCAGTACGGTGTTGCTGGTGTCGCCGCCACTTCGGCGGCGTCGAATTTGGTCGTTTTGTTGGCGCTTGTTTCGTATGTGTGGGGAAGTGGACTACAAGCACAGACGACGTGGACGAAGCCGAGCCGGGAATGCTTTACTGGCTGGACGCCGTTGGTTAAGCTGGCGGCACCGAGTTGTGTTTCTGTGTGTCTCGAATGGTGGTGGTACGAGATCATGATCGTTTTGTGTGGGCTCCTAGTGGACCCCAAGGCCACGGTGGCATCAATGGGCATTTTGATCCAAACAACGTCGTTGCTATATGTATTTCCATCGTCACTCGGGTTTGCTGTGTCAACTCGGGTGGGTAATGAACTTGGGGCGAATCGACCCAATAAGGCTCGGGTCTCTGCTATAGTGTCTATATGTATTGCGGGCCTAATGGGCTTATCTGCCATGGCTTTTGCATCATCAACGAGTAATATATGGGCCCGGATGTTTACGAATGATAGGGAGATCCTGCGGTTGACAGCGACTGCTTTACCAATCCTAGGGCTATGCGAGCTTGGGAATTGTCCTCAGACCGTCGGATGTGGTGTTGTACGTGGGACCGCCCGGCCAGCCACCGCAGCTAACGTGAACCTCGGAGCATTTTATCTAGTGGGGATGCCCGTGGCGATCGGCCTTGGGTTTCAGCTAGGAGTTGGATTTTGTGGGCTTTGGGTTGGGTTGCTTGCGGCCCAAGTTTGTTGTGCTGGGTTGATGTTGTATGTTGTTGGGAGCACTGATTGGGATTATGAAGCTGCGAGAGCACAGCTGCTCACCTGCACAGAATGTGGTGAGATTACACTACCACCAGATTGTGACAAAGAGAAGGAGCCGTTGATTCGCATAATGGTGACGTAATCATCATGATCAAAATAGCATCCCACATAAATTTAATTTTTAATCTTTTTTTTTTTTATGTAACTTCCATTCTTCTTATTTCTCTAATTAGATTTGATTGTGAATTACTGATTTTTGTGTGTGTGTGTGTGTGTGGATAGTTTAAGGGCTTCTTCATAAAAGTGGTGAATGAGAGTTTTTGATTGTAACCCCTCTCTCTCTCTCTCTCTCTCTCTCTCTCTCTCGGAATATGTGAATTTGAATCCAAGTAGACTGTCTCTTGGCAAGCAACAACTTTTTGAAACAAATTGCCTTTGTGGTGATTTTTTTTTTTTATTGAAAATGGTGCAATAACATTATTTGTATTGACTTTACCACCTCTCATTTGTCAGCTCAAGGGTTAGCTTGACATTCCAGATATCACCATATTCAGAACGGCCATTATAGGTTTACTCTCTCTTTAACTTAGTTCCTAAAATTCTCTAATCCTGTGGAGAATACTACTAATAACCAAATTCGGTACGATACCCCACTTGAAACTTGTTAAGTTTTTATACTAGAGCTTATCAATTTCTGGTGCACTCATCTTTTAAGTTCACGTACCAGCTTTTTTTTTATTTTCAACATAGCACACTATAATTTGATCAACACCCTCACCTTAAAGATTGTATATAATCTAAGCACAACACCAATAACTTAATTATTTAAGTGAATATAAATAAGGAATTAATTAGTTGAATATTTATGTACGAAAGTTGCACTAAAACGAAGAACAATGTTATTTACACCTAATTTATTGATTTTATTTGTTGAACTAATTATTATCTATCATTGAATTGAGAGTGGTTGGGATTCACTACCCATCTATACATATACAGTACAAAAATAAAGAAAAAGAAAAATGTTATTTGGTTATAATTTAGAGACTTAATATGAGAATTTAATTCAATATAACCATTAGATTGAAATCGTGTTTCATTTAATTTTGGAACTTACAATTAATTCAATAATTCTATTAAATTGAGTCCTCAATTTAGGTTTTTATAACGGATCCGACTAACAATAGAGATAATGTTAATTAAAAGAGAGTTGTTTTGTACTCAAATTATATTATTCTATTTAATAAAACAAAATCTTTTGTATGTAAAACGATACTGTTTTAATCAACGGCATCTTTGGTTGTTGATTTGCTCACACCATAGAATTCTCACCCCTTGATACCATTGTTGTTCCTGAAATGAATGTGAAAAATCTGACATGAAGGGGTCTCAGCAAAACTTTCAGAAGCTACAAAAGTCAAAATTACATTCAATATCTTTCCAAGTATTTTTTTGAATTGTTTTGACCAATGGAGCCTTGGCTAAATTATTATTATTATTGTCATCATGGGAGAGGTCAAACTATAAACATCTAGCTACGTATGGAGAAAGGAACACAAATGACAGGAATGGGTCACTCCTTTGAATTCCGATAATGGTTTGTTCGGTTGCTATGCTACTAATCAACTATGATTGTCAATATATATATATATATATATCAACCTTAAAATATTATAACCACAAAAATAATGCGAGCATATTTTGTGTAGTATTTGGACATATACTCTCGTTCATACCACGTGTTAAAATATTATTTTTATTATTTGAATCCTTCTAAAAAATATTTTCAAATATAATTTCTGAAAAACTTCTAATATGGTGAATGTAAGGAGGGGTTAGTGGAATTTAGATTCTATCCGATGCACAATTTTCCATCAATTCTCTTCAATGGTATTTTAAAAGAATGCCATGTAAAAAAATTCCGTTTTAAAACGAAGAAAATTGTCGTGATTTGACACTCAAATGTATCAAGTAGGGGTGTTCACCCTATCCTACGAGTTGACAATATGCTCTTTCGCTTTTCTACTCAATACTTTGCTGAAGAATTTTTTCTTGGCCTATCCTATCCGACAGGTGCCGACTTTTTACCCGATTAATCGGGTAGAAAGTCGGATAAATATTTTTGTAACAATTAATTTTTGAATCATTTTAACAATTTAATTAAATAATATGCACCGTTTATTTAGTTTTGTGCATCATCATTACCCTTGGTTCCTAGGCCATGCCAACAAAACACCACCCCCCATACCAGTACCATCCAAAAAAATATATATTTGAGAGAGAGAGGTGGTGTCTGCCCTTTAAAAAGAAAGACATATGCAAACAACATCTAACCAGAGGCCACATTTAAGTTCACTCGTAAGTATACACAAACAAAATGGCAATAGCCAGATCTGCAATATAGGAACAAAGACGAGGCCATCGCGATCTGCAACATAGGATAAAAACCCATGGATCTGCAACATAGGATTTACAACTCAGATCAAACGCGATCAGATCGCGCATTGATCTACAACTCATGACCAAATTGCGCACAGCGGCACTGATCTGTTACTGTAGATGAAGGTCTGCGATCAGACCTTCCAAGCCAGACCACACCAGAGAGAGAGAGAGAGAAGTCTGGAACGATGAAGGAGGAGCAGTGGAGTGACCGAGTGAGGTGTGAGGCGCAGACACTCTTGGGACTGGGTAGATTAGGATTGTTTTAGTTTATATATATAAACTAAAACTAAATTATTACGGGTAGGATAGGGTAGGAATGCGGAAATGGATGACTATTCCGCATTCTTACCCGATATTTGCGACTAGTCATTCAGTAGGGTAAGGTAGGATAGGAACTTATAACTGGTCGAAAATTTGAACACCCCTAGTATCGAGATATGTAAAAACCAATCAAATTTTCTTAGTCACTCTTCATATATATCAATCCCACACATGACACAAAATACAAACATTATGATAATTCCCCCTTTTTTATGACCTAAAATCATTCCAACAATGCTTTTTTCACTTGGGTTTATTACATAATTTTGATATACACACACAATCACCAAAAAAACGTATCCATTGAATCAATTAGGATAGTTTTTGCAAGACTCAAATTTGAAACCTGGATGTATTGAACTCACACTACAACCCATTGAAACTATTATAGACATTGTTTTTTTTTCCTTGCTATTGACATGATATTGATACTTCTCCAAAATCTTTCCTAAGTTTTTCCACTAGGAAAGGTTGAAATTATCACAGCAAGTATGGCATGTTAAGGAGGTCCCCGGACAAGAAATCATAGGATTATGATTAGCATGGCTTTTCTCTCCTTCTCTCTATCTCTCTGCCAAAAGAGAGAAACCTCTCTATAATAGTTTCAGTTTATGTCAAAAGCCTAACCTCTCTCTCCCTCTCTCTCTCTCTCTCTCTCTGTGCCAAAAGAGAGAAACATCTCTTTAATTAATAGTGTCAGTCCACTTCAAAAGCCTCACCTCTCTAACGAAGGCATGTGGCTGGGACAATCCCATTACGAATGTTCAAAACACTGCAAGATATATCATAAAAACCAACATAGTTTTAGAGCAGTACTAGGGAAGTCTAGGATGTATATACTCCCCTAGGGCCACGACTGGTTGACATTTACTTGTTTGTAATATTGAAGAGCGGAGTTGTTTTTGGTATCGATATTTATTATTTTTATAGATATTTTTATCACTATTGTGAATATTTTTACTATTATTGTAATATCGAAAAAAGTGGTAAAAATAATTAGCACAACAATGATAAAATCACTAACAAAAATGATAACTTTTTTTGAACCAAAAAAAATGATAAAAATAGTTACCAAAATATTAATAAAAACAACCACAAAAATAATAAAAACAACTACAAAAATGATAAAAAAAAAAATTATAAAAATACCCACAAAAATAATAATTTTTGAGGTACAATTTTATATGTGGTACCCTAGTCAAGCCCTTGAAGAGCAAGTAAATATGTGATGAAGATAAAGATGACAACATCATTCTGTAGCATCATGCTTCTCACACTCTCACATGGTTACGCTTTTCAGTAAGCTACCCCCTCTCTCTCTCTCTCTCTCTCTCTCTCTGACAAACACACACACATTGTCTCCTTATCTCCTCTTTCAAATACTTCTTGCCATTCTTTTTGTTTCATAACCCTCCAACAACACCATCATAACCCCAACCACTCCATCATACCTGTCTATGTATACGAATGAAACCCTAAACCCTATAGGCTGCAGCACTTTATAAGTAATAAACGTCTTACAATATGGTACTCGACCTTCCAAAAAAAATAAACAATGTCGTATTCGGAAGTAATTTGTTGGATCATACTAAACATTGATCATAAAAATAGTAAAATAGAGAATCCTTACACATGACATGCTTTAATTAGACAAAAAGAAACAATCCGGAATGGAAAACAATTTTTTTGGTACCATAATGCTAACCGTAGGGCATTATTTACAAACATGGCAGACGAAGTTAGGGCATAGCCCCTAGCCTTTGTCCACCACCAACAGGCACAACCCTATACAATTTTGAATATTCTTATCAGCAGCCTTCCGTGAGTAGGGTTTGAGCTCCATAATTTGCTCAACCCACTGTTTCTTTATTTCTCAAGGCCTCATGACATGTTCCCTCCAACATGACTCTGTGCATGGCACCTACATTTCTAGCATGTTAGCCTCCATATAGGCTCTCACCCATTATTTTTTCCTCCCTCTAAGTGGACACGGTGGGACCCACTAGAAATTTAGATGATGAAACCACAATGCATACATGCCTTTCTCTTTTGTGTTACACTTATGCTCCGTTTGGTACAATGAAAAAATAAAATGAAGAAAAGTTAAAAAAAGATGTATAAAACATCATGATTGGTAAAGAAAAAAAATAGGAAAGATGAAAAAGTAGATAAATTAATTTTCCTTCTAACTCACCAAAATCAATCTCTCCAAAATTTTTAAAAAAAATGGATGAAAAGTTAATTATTTGTGTTAATATATATTTTATTTGTCTATATATTATGTATACATTAATTTCATATCAAAATACAATAATAAAATATGTGTGTATATATATAATTTAAAAATAATATTTTTTTCAGCTTAACTAAGGGTGACAA